AGAAGAAGTAGTGATTAGGTTAGTTGTTTTGACAATGGTTGACAGAAACAGACTTTTTATTAATTGTATCTGCAGAAATAGCTAGATTATTTTTATATTTATCTGCATGAACAGATTTTTTTTCTTTAACCGATGGAGGCTTGGCCAGAAATTAGAGGAATATTATTAGCTATTGTACTGGACGAGTTAACAACAATTGCAGGCGCTAAGAATTGAGAAGCTATAGGTACGGTTTTACGGCAAAAAGTTCAATAGTTTAATAATCAATAGAGGGTGGGATGTCCGAGCCAATAGATTTGGCAGCATTGTGTGGCTGAGCCACAGCTGGTGAATTTAAGCGGATTAAATCATCACCAGGCACAAAAACTGAGGATTTCTTTCGTTACGGAGATCCATCAAGAATTTGATAATTATTAAACTTTTTTTCAAAAAGCTGCTAATTCAATTTTAGACTCCTTAAAATGAGTATAAAAGGGCCTACAATCAATACATGCCTAACGTGACCATACGTCCCGCTTTGGGCGGGACAGTCCCGCTTTGAGGTTATCTGTCCCGCTGTCCCCAGCGAGAGCAAAAATGTCCCGCTTTCGAAAATACTGGATATTGATATTGATGAAAAATACATGAGTTACTTTTTTCCCCGTGAACATATAATTTATTTGCATAGTTTTTTTCAAGCAACATTAACATTAAAATTAACTCGAAAGATTTTGTAATGCTAATGCTGGAGTTAATGTCGACGTCGGCGACGACGTCAAATGTCAAAAAAATTGAATCGTATGAAATTTTATGAGAGCAGTTAATCTTAACGCCGTAAGAAATTCGACGCCGAAAAAGTTCAATCTGTTTCAACTTTTTCGGCGTCGTCGACGGCGTTGACATTAACTCCAGCATAACAAGGGAAATCACCAAATTAAAAATGCTTATAAAAACAGAAAAAGTTTCTGTCACTCTGTCAGTACCCTAAGCATAGACGCTCTAAATTGTTCTGGTATCTTTTCATCGCGGAGTCGGAGAAGGCGAGCAAAGTCAAACAATTTATTTTCAATGTTAGTGATTTTAACATTACAATAATGCCTAAACGCAAGTGTACTTTTAACATTTCTTTGCAAAATAAGTATCCATTTATAAAACAAAGAAGTGGTGAATCAGACGTTACGTGTGAAAAATGTCGTATTGATTTTAGTGTTGGACATGGTGGTGCCAGCGATATTGAGAAGCATTTAAAATCGGAAAAACACAAGCTTTCTGATCAAGCTGCCGCTTCAAGCTCGTCAATGCTTTCTTTTTATAAAAGAACAAATTTGGCGACTTCCAAAGACTTGGATATAGCTGCAGCGGAGGGTGCGTGGGCGTACCACACAGTGCAAGAAAACCACAGTTTTCGTTCGAATGACTGTGCTTCAAATCTAATACAAACATGTTTTGAGCAAAAATTTAGATGTGCCCGTACAAAATCACAAGCTATAGTTGTAAATGTGCTGGCACCTATGGCGATGGACGAATTGAAAGAACACCTTCACGAAGCCCACTGCATATCTTTATTAACCGATGCTTCCAATCACGGCTCAATAAAATTATTCCCTGTTTTAGTTCGCTATTTTGTACCATACGAAGGCGTGAGAGTCAGGATTTTAGAGTTTCAAAAGCAGCCAGGCGAATCATCTGATATAATTGTGGATTATTTGAAAGAAGTATTATCTTGATTTGAATAAGAAAATTGTGGCATTTTGTGCAGACAATACAAACTGCAATTTCGGAGGAAAGAATAGAAAGGGGATAAATAATGTTTACGCGAAATTGAACCTATCCGTCGGAAGGCAGCTCATTGGGATTGGGTGTGGAGCCCATATAATTCATAATGCTATCAAAACAGCCGCAGATTGTCTCCCTGTTGACTTCGAATGCATCATTGTGAAAATTTATTCATTCTTCTACATCTACAGCATTCGGGTAGAAGTTCTGAAAGAGTTCTGTGATTCCACCGACACAGAGTATCAGAAACTGTTGGGCTACAGTAAAACAAGGTGGCTTGCTTTAATGCCGGCGCTTGAGAGAATTTTAAAAATGTTTCAGCCTTTGAAAACCTATTTTCTGAGCATAGAAAATGCCCTACTATTTTAAAAACGTTTTTCGAAAATCCCAGCTCTGAATTGTGGTTATATTTTTTGCACGCACAGACAGTGATTTTTCATCAAGCCGTGTTGAAAATCGAGGGAATAGTCTCCGAGATAACTTAGAACTTAAAGAGAATTCGATTTTCCTTCCTCATTCCGTCCGCAATCTACTGGTAAAATTACAAAAAACTGACGTTGCTGTTGATGAGCAGAATGTGAAAACTGCGGCAGCGGATTTTTATAAGACAAGTAAAGAATACTTGGAACAGTGGTGCCAGTTCAATGCACAACTTGCAGTATTTGAATGGTCAAATTTGAGAAAAGTCCCTACTTGGGAAGACGTACAGAATGTGACGGATTTGCTGATCACACAAAGATTTCTTAGCAGTAGCCAAGATACGGAGTTTTTCGATGAGTTTTCGCTTATTTCAAGATACGTCACAGTTGAAAAAATCAAAAGCTGGAACGATGAGAATGTTGCTACTGAAGACCGTTGGGTGGAGCTGTTTAAACACTTCCGTGCTAATAATCTCAACTGCACAAACTTTCGCACAATTATTGAGTATGTTTTATGTATGCCTGGAAGTAACGCACCTGTCGAAAGAGTTTTTTCCCTAATGAATAATATATGGACAAGTGAATAAACGCAGTTAAGTGTGACAGTTTTAAAAGCTATTTTAATTACTAAGACTAACATCAACAAACAATGTAATCAGCTCCATTCCTACTTGAAAACTAGACCCGATATTTTAAAACTAATTTGCTCTGCTGACAAATATAAAACAAATACTTAGACATAAAATTAATTTCATAAATTAGATTTATACGTATTCTCTACGTTTTTGAATAAAATTTGTTTTTAAATGCATAATTCTTTTTTTTACAAAATTCCGCAGGCGTCCCGCTCTGACGAAAAATATAAATGGTCACATTATACATGCCCAACATAAAGCATACTTTTCACGATCAGTAAGAACATCAAAATGGCGGCCATTAAGACCTGCACATTTTAAATGTTCATGCTTATCACATAGCCAACATGTTAGTAAACGTTCTTTAAAACTAGTAATTTTGCAATTTTTATTCAAGCACTCCATATTAATTCGAAATACTAAGGGAAACAGTGTATTAGGGAAATAGTGTAGTAATCAATTTACAGTAACAGCCTAAAATTATGCTTAGGAAAGCCCATTTAATACGTACATAACAGCAAAATGGAATCAGAATCAAACGTCAAAAAACAAAAGAAATAACACTACATTGTAAACTACAAACACAGAAAAGAATATTAAACACCAAATGATCAATGCACAAAATTAAATTTAGTAAAATAGTATAAAAACACTTATTTCACAAAAACTTCACACTTTTACAAACTATTAAAATGTGTATATTTAAAAAATCACAATTTAAAACTTGTAAGAACAAAATAACTGTTAAAATTTATTATATTTAAATTTGTTTGACGACACACAGAAAAAAACTTCCATGCCAGCAGAGTTGTCGGACGTGCAAATAATGGCTAATATCAGCCCAAATGGAGTGAATTTCGGGACGTACGTTTCCATTTTGTGGACCTCGGCTCCGGCATATATTTTTTTAATAATAATCCTTCTCGAAGTGATATCAAGACATAGCAATGTTATTTGGTATAAAAGATTAAAATATCTACTTTAAATCGATTAAGAATTGGATAGGAGGCATATATATTAGTTCGAACTGAAACAAAACTATAACTGTTCTAAAGCCAAATTTTTATGGGTGGTATGATATATTTCAAATAAATTCTTTCTTTTAATTACCTTTATAGGCCCATTCTCACTATATTGTTTAGAAGAACGGTTTAAAATGACAAAAATTGTAAGGCACAAATCGGCATGAATTTTCAAGGATGTTCACACAACTCCAACACACTTGTGGTATATGTAATTTTGTTGTAAATAATATGAACAAAAATCTTTACATTAATAATAAACAACAAATGAAATTTGAATTGTGACTTGAAGGTGAATACACGCCAACTCTAAATACCGAATCTTACGCAATATAATAAGGTACCGAGTTTGTGTAAACATTGACCGAACTTTTCTAGAATCTGACAAGACACACATATTGCTCAATATAAAGTTCACTATAAAAGCAAGCCTTTACAATAATAAAATGAACCAAAAAGATATGTTGGTATGAATATGAGTATGTACTAATTTTAAGATAGATTGCATATTACGAATGTGAGGGATTTAACACAAAATCGGATGAAACATATACGTATATGGGAGCTATAGATATATCTGAACCGATTTTCACCAAATACGAAGACGTGGACCTGTATACGAAATTTTTTTGTAGTGCCCATTAGGAACTTCCAGTACGAAAATGAAACGATTCCGCTAAATAATGTTGCTGAAATCATGAAAATACCGAATATTGGGAATTACCGTCATATAGGGGCTATGCCAAAACGTGGACCGACATGGCCCATTTACAAACTTAACCTGCCTACTGGTAAACTACGCAAGTATGCAACATTTCTGTCTCTTGTAATCACGCTCTTTCTCTTTGTAATCTTTTGAACGAATTGAGATGAAAGGCTAAACCTTTGGCACACGTGTTTATTTTTCCAGTAGACAGGTTAAGTTCGTAAATAGGCCATGTAGGTCCACGTTTTCATATAGCCCCCATATGACGGTACCTCCCGATGTTCGTATTTTGATGATTTTAGCGGCATTATTCACCGGAATTGTTTCAAATTTGGTATTTGAGATTCGTAATGAATACTACAGCCTATGACAGAAAATTATCTGTTCAGGTCCACGTCTTCGTATAGACCCCAAATAACGGTACCTCCCGATATTCGGTATTTTGATGATTTTAGCGACATACAGGCATGTCACAGAAGTTTTACGAAATCGATTTATTTCACCTTTTCCAAATCGTTACGATTTGCTTTTGCTTCTTCAGCACTCGTACGATTTGACTAATCCGGAAAAAAAATCATTTCACATTTTTGAAATAAAAATATGGTAACTCCATGAAAAAAAGTCGTAAACAAATTATTGACAATTAAAAAAGGAGTTTAAATTGTTTTTTTATAATATAAACACCAAAAGTAAAAATGCCAGGGGCTTCAATACTTGCGAAGAAGACGAGATACCTGTTACAAATGAGGAAAATTCTGAAAACGACCAAAATATTGTGGACATCTACCCTGAAATAAATATGTACAACGTAGCCAAACGTATTAGAAATAATATTGCTAGTCAAATGAACTAATGCATTTTTTATTTCAATTCATTTAAATAATAAAAAAAAACATTTTATAAAACAAAAAACAGATTGTTTTTAGTCCATTGTGTAAAATAATGTAAAGTTAAGAACGAGTCGTATTTGCTTTTTCCTGTTCTACAGCATATTTAAGAGTTTCAAGTTCAACTATTTTGAATTTCATTTCGTTCCGTTCACGCATTCTCTTTTGCATTTCAATATTATAAAACTGCTCTTCCACATACTTTTTTTCCAGGATGTTACAAAGTCTGTCCAACTTTTCAGTTTGTTTTTTCATTTCCTTACTGTTATCTTCTAGAATTTTCAACCTCAACTAAAAGCGCATTTAGATCTTGCTTTGAGGGAGTTCTTGCCCGGGGTCTTTTTACTGCAGGCGTGGGTTTTGCTTTTGTTAGGCTGCCCGACACTTGTCTTATTGGTGTAGATGGCGGAGAACACGATAAGCTTTTATTTCTAAGTCGTTTTTGAATAGGTGTTCGCGAACGGATTTCTTCCAATGTTGGTGTTCTTGGATCAATTGCCAATGTAGAAACATTTTTAAAAGCAGCTGGAATGCATGATCTTGGTCTATCTTTTTTATTTAAAATCGAAGTGGTCTGCTTTGAAGTTGAGGGTGAAAAATTAAGCTCTTCGTTTTCAGATTCACTTAAAACTAATTGACTTGATTTTCGAGTTCTTGGAATATGTGTAGATGATGACGAATCAAAGTTTTCTTTTTCAGAACAACTGAGGTCTAATTCACTTACAAAATCCGCAAAGCTTACTGCACCACCAACTCCATCGACACTTTTATACAATCCGCAAATTCTGATTAAACTGTTCTCGTGTTCATTGAAAACATATTGATTGATATCACCACCACCAGTTCCTCGCAAGTCCTTTTTATTATGGCACATCTTCGCCTTAACATTTCCTTTCCAATCTGACCAAACTTTCTTCCATTCTTTACAGGTTTTACTTGGTGGACCTGAACTATTCAGCAAAGCTGTCAATTCTGTCCATAGGGAATCAACAACAACCTTATCACCTTTTACATAGCCCCTGGCAATATCGTGATGTTTATCCATAAAATTGATAAAAAATTTGTCCTGTTTAACGTTTCGGTGTTTGCCCCTAAAGTATAAAATAAATTAAATAAACAGTTTTTGACGAAAATTTAGAAATATGTATGTAAATACTTACATTTTTGCCCGATTGACTGAAGCGCTCTGTCTCAAACCAAACAATTAATTGTTTTTTTGTTTTTCCCCTTCTTGCTTTTTGGTCTGTCAGTTGTACATTTCTACACCTTCTTCTTCAACACATATGGCAATAATTCAACAATACAAGTCTGCCGATCATTTCTGCATATTTTTTTGCGTTTTCATCATGGATTAGAAAAATAATAGATTTTTTGTAAAATAAATTCCAAAAACATGTTCATTCTAAGAGAATTTGGTTAATACAATATTTTCTGTTAAATGTATGTGTCTTCTGTTTATTTTTTACGTTAAAATCACTAAACATTTCAATTTCACCCTGCTTTTTGAAAGTGATATCAAAACGCAAAATTTTTGCGTTTTCCGTTTTTTAGAGAAGCTAAAACCGTTTTCGTTTTCACTCTTGAACGATTTTACATTCTGTGACATGCCTGATAATTTACCAGAACTATTTAAATTTAATATTTGAAGTTCGTAATGGGAACTACAGTCTGTGACAGAAAATTGTCTATGCAGATCCAGGTCTTCGTATAGGCCATATACATATATAAGTACCTCCATATATTCGGAATTTTGACGATTTTACGTACAATACTCCCTGAAATTGTTTGAGATGTCGTATTAATGGATACTACAGCCTGAGGCAGAAAATTGTCTGTGCAAGTCCACGTCTTCGTATAGCTTCTATATAACGGTACCTCCCTATATACGATATTTTGATGATTTTAGCTATATTATTCACCGTTTATTTCAAGTTTCGAATTTGAATGTGGTAATGGCTTATGACAAACAATGCCTATGTGGGTCCACGTCGTATAGACCCCAATATAACGGCTATTTTCGTTATTTTTTAAATTTAACAGAATTTTTTAAGGATTTTATTTTTTGAACATTTCCAAATTCGTTCCAAATGGTGGAGGGTATTCAAAGTTCAGCCCGACCGAACTTACTGCTTTTTAACTTGGTATACAGTACGTCGGGTATAAGGTAAGCCTGTTATAGGTACAGGTAAATGGTATAGAGTGTGCACCGATTTACCATTCCGATTATGTAACTCCTAACGGGATAATATTTATGCCTTATAAAGTAAACATACTTGGTTTAAAAAACTGATTTACTGGACATAATTGCATAATATATGTCAGAATGAGACATAAATTACTAGATTCACATTGTCGAATGGGTCAAACTCTATGTACAACGTTCAAGGATGGAAAAAATGGCAGTTCAAATAACCATAACATGAAGTGTAATCTAACCTTAAATAATATGAAAAATAGTTTTGAACTAAATTTTAATCAAACATTAATTGATATGCTAGTGCCACTTCTTCACTTGTGCGAATTACTCACGTTCACTTTATCAGCCTATTCACTATGTTTAGTTTTTTTTTTTTAAGTTTGAAATTAAAACAACATGTTAGAACAAATGCTCTTACGCAACCAGTCAACACAGAGTACAATAAAAAACTGCAGGATTTACCAGTAGTTGACCACAATTTGAATCAGCGGTGGCAACTCTCTCAATTGTAGATTGAAAACAAGTAAGGAAAGGCTGAAAGTATATGATACCCTACACCACTATGCGTATTTAGTAGAGCTTCGGCCGGCCGACCTTTTAATACCCTCCACCATTTGGTACAAATTTGGCAATTTCCAAAAAATAAAATCCGTTAAAAATTCTGTTAAAATCTTAAAAATACCGAATGCTTATACCTTATAAGTTATTATCATAAGTTATTACAATATTTAAATGCGAAACTTGAAGAAAGCTCTGTTTATAATGTAGCTAAAATCATCAAAATACCGAATATGGGGGGTACCGTTATAAGGGGGCTATAAGAAGACGTGGACCTGCACAGAAAATTTTCTGGCATGGGCTGAAGTATTCATTACGAACTTCACATGCGAAATTTGAAAAAATCCCGGTAAATAATCTCGCTAAAATCATCAAAATACCGAATATCGGGGGGTACGGTATATGGGGGCTTTATGAAGACGTGGACCTATATAACCCATTTTCTGTTTTATGCTGCAGTATCTATTACGAACTTCAAATACCAAATTTGGAACGATTCCGCTAAATAATGTCACTAAAATCATCAAAATACCGAATATCGGGAGGTACCGTTATATGGGGGCTACACGAAGACGTGGACCTGTACAGATAATTCTCTGTCTTAGGCTGTAGTATCCATTACTAACTTCAAATGTCAAATTTGAAACAATTCCGGCGAATAATGTCGCTAAAATCATCAAAATACCGAATATCGGGAGGTACCGTTATATGGGGGCTATATGATAACTTGGACCTACATGGCCCATTTACGAATTTAACCTACCTACTGGCAAAGTATACATGTGTGCAAAATTTTAGACTTCTATCTCAATTTGTTCGAAAGATAGCGCGATTACAACAGACAGACCGACAGACAGACGGACATGGCTAAATCGTCTTAGAATTTTACGCTGGTCAAGAATATATATACTTTGTTGGGTCTGACATGAGTATTTCGAGGAGTTACAAACGGAATGACAAAATTAATATACCCTCCATAGTATGGTGGAGGGTATAAAAATATGTTTGGAATTTATGTGAATTAGTTCATACCAATTATGAACCTTTAGAGAAGTCAAAATTTGGGAAATATATCCAACTCTGAATCGATTTTCAACAAATACTTCTACCCCTAATACCAAATAACATTGCTGTATAGTGCATGATATGATGTATCGATCATGATTATATTAAAAATTATTTATTGGAGCAATAGATATACCAGACCGAGTTTCACTAAATGGAAAAATTCGGTTGAATATTGAAATAATCCATCCAATTTGGGCTGATAACACATATGTGGTGGACAATAACCGTAAAATTGGATGAAGATATATATCGAAGGTGTTTAAAAATCTGAGCTGATCTCGATAAAATTTGGCAGAGGTGTTTTCGAGCTGTATCTAGTGTCCGGTATCAAATATCATTGTTGTGGTGCGCATACTTCGCATATGAGGGGATTTAACTCCAATATGGATGTAACATATGTGGCTATAGATAAAACTCAGCCGATTTTTATCAAATTTAATGTAGTTAATTGTAGATTGAATTCGGTCGGATGTTCTCAATCTGATAATAAATGCGACCTGTATTTTGTTTACAAAAATACATGGACGGACGGACTGACATGAATAAATAGATGAAGATCCCCAAAAGTAACTATGGGTCTATCTCGCTTCCTTCTCCTTCTTCTTCCTTTATATCTTACACCAGCACTATGTGGTGTAAGATATAAAATAAAGATTATAATTTATGGTAAATTGCAATCATGTAGAGGGTGAGCAATATGGAAGAAATTGTATGTTATAGTTAATAATTAAAAAAAAGTTTGATTGGAATAGTTTTAAGCTTAAGTTAAGCGTTCAGCACTACTAGTAACGACGACCAGTTGTTAGGATAAAGTAACAAGGGAAAAACTTGTTTTTATTTTACTAAAGAGTAATTAACGGCGGCGCAGTGTACATGTCTGACTTCAAATTATAACTGATGCTCAGCGAAAATATCAGAATTTAGCTCCTTTTAATTTATAACAAGCTTCGAGGATTAATTATTATTGAAGTTTTTTTAATGATATCTTTTATAATTACCTTTATAGGTACAGGTGAATACAAGAGTGTGGACCGCTTTTATCATTCCGAATATGTAACTGCTAACATGATTATCATGATGGTTTATAACCGTACCACTCAATGGCATAAAAATTAGGGCAATTATAAAGAAGTAAGCCTTCATGTTTATAAACTAAAAACTTTTGTGTCCATTCTGACTATTTATAGTGTTTAGAAGAACGGTTAAAAATGACAAAAAGTGTAAGGCAAAAATCGGCATAATTTTTCAATGATGTTCACACTACTCCAATACACTTGTGATATATGTAATTTTTTTGTAAATAATATGAACATAAACAAAACAAAAGAAATTTGAATCTCTTCCTTTGAAAAATGTAACTAAAATCATCAGACTACTAAACGCTTGGGCTGCAATTAAAAGGTGACCACATGCCAATTTTTTGCCAACTACGAACTCTAAATACCGAATCTTAAACAATATGAGAAGGTGCCGACTTTATGTAAACAATGACCGATATGGCCCGTTCACGAACTTTTCTAGAATACTGATAAAATACACATATTGCTCCACACGGTTTTCACTATAAAAGTTGCTGTTGTAAGGATGGTCAAGTCAGCAAGCCTTTACAATACTAAAATGAACCAAGAGAATCTGTTGGATTGAATATGAATATGTACTAATTTCAAGATAGATTGCATATTATGAATGTGAGGGATTTAAACACCAAATCGGATAAAACATATATATGGAAGATATAGATATATCTGAACCGATTTTCACCAAATTTGAAATAATTGTTTTAGACAGAAATCGGTTGGCAGTGCTAAAATTAATTTCATTTTGAATGATATTAACCATCCAGTGCACAATAAACGTGAAATCCGTCAGAGATATATATGGAAATCCAAATCTAAACCGATCTTGATAAAATTTAAAACAGGTCTTGCTGGTCTGAATCTGATATCTTGTACGAAATATCATTCTTGTGGAATACATATTATGAGGAATTACACTCGAAAACGGATGAAAAATATATCTGAATCGATTTTCACAAAGTACATTCTTCTAGAGTGAATTTGGTTGGAAGTGCCAAAATTCACTTCTTTTGAACTGATATTAGCCATCTGGCGCAGAATAAACCTAAACTTGTTTGGACCGATTTTCTTGGATTCTTCATCTTAATTAGATGATAAATGCGACCTGCATTCCAAAAATACATGGACAGAGGGACGGACGGACATGCGTAAATGCCCAAAGACATAATATCCTGACCACTATGTGGTGAAAGGTATAAAAAGTGAAGACCAAAACGGTTGTCTCTACTTTCAAGCTTGTTTGCAGAAAGTTTTGAAATAATATACGACTTTTCTTAGATCACCTTGACAAGTAAACTAGATAAAATTTAAATGGTTGGTAAATGGTGGAATTATGGTTTATATTTGGGACAATATAAATGTGGTTGTGACAGGTTTGAAAGATATAAACAAGGTATTGAAATTTGTATATGTGCCTCAATCAAAGAGTGTTTTAATCAACGCATGTACAAAATATATTCTACATACTTTTGAGTGCGATTGAGGCGCTGGGAAAATTTAACCATTAAAAATAATTATTTCAACATTGTGACCTTCCCAGTGGTCGTAAAAAATCACATGTGTACAATTCAGTGATCTTGTGCGCTGTCGCATACGATAATGTGTAGGATAATAAAGGTCATAACCCACACAGACAGATATCGATGCGCCAGTAGGTAGCCAAGATTACTTGCATGAAAGGACACGCAGCCATATAATGTTTCCTA